CGTTAATGAGAGTCTATGGGATTTTTCCCCCCCTCACCAAGTCTATTGTCGGATTGTGTAGACAAGTAACACACCTCTCCTCACCAAACTGCAAGATTTAAGGTATCATGTTCGTCTTTGTTTTTTCAAGGCCATTCTATTTAATGGTTTTATTCTCATCACACTGTAGTGTCAGACTCTGCCCGCTCTTCTTTTCCACTGGCCCTGAAAGACCTTGAAGGCTGGCTGGTTTCTTGCTCTGCCCACTCACTCAGGACTAACAGTTTCCCCGCAGCAGACACAGGCCGTCTCTCTCATCCTCTTACGTAAGAGCAGTGGAATGTGAGCTTGCGTACATCAGCCCGGTGAATGGCTGGATAACTGAATATTCCAGACACTTGGATCACAGCACAGATACAATGCTGAAACTCAATGTGTCGTTTGTTTGCTTGTACTTGTGTGCTCGAGATGTTTCTAGTTTTTCCTATGCTCGCATATGTATATTGACTATCCGAACTGATGGATGTAAGTGATAGTACTCTAATTTGACCTCTTGACACTAAAGTTACATGCAGTCTGCATGGTGGATGAGAGCTGATTTGCTGACTGCGCTTTTCTTGCTCGGCAAGCTTTCCATTTAAGTAATGCTTCTCCATGCTCCATAGTAATCGGAGGCTTTCAGCAATATTTCTGCCCTTTGAAATGGAGGCATTAGGGAAAACACATCCTCATAGGTAATGTAGGATGACAGTATTACCTTCATAAATTGCCTCACAGCAGGTTTATTCCAGGATATGCACATGGGAAATGTTTTACACTGTTCTTGTTTTCAGCATTTGGATGCTGCGTGGTCTACTTTCCTAAAATAATGCATCAATGTTCAGTTCACTATTATACTCAACCTTTGTGCTCTTTATCTTTTATGTAAGCAAACGCTGTACATTGTAATGCCTTTTTTTGTTTTAATGTTTATTGCATGAACAGACCTTTATGTAGGGCTTATGAAATCAGTTTTATTTTTTCCCAAATTCCTTTTTCAGTTTTATATTTTATGGATTCAGTTTTACATTTTAGTAATAAAAATGGACGTCTTATGAATTTCATTCATGAAACATATTTAATACACATTTATTATCAAAACAATGGTAATTAAATCTAGGCATAAACCATCCTTTAAAATGTAGGGAGGGGGGAGGGGGGGGGGGGGGAGCAAAGTGTTGCACAAAAAAGGTTTACTGTTTGTTTTTATTATTATTACATTAGTACATTCTACTGTACAATAGTGATATATTTTTTTCACAATTTCTTCAAGTTAAACCAAACATTTATTTTGATGGTTTGTCATAAAGACCTTTGAGTTTCTATGTCTTTATGATATGACAATAGTTTTACAAATGAAATGGTGAAATGTTGGTGAAGTGACTCAGAGCAGCTCTGGAGATAAAGTTCATGTGTTCATGTCCTCATATAGTGAGTCACCAGACGCTGTTAACACCACCAGCGTTAGTAGACTTTTTGCGCTTTAATATTTACAGTAATGTCATTTGATTAATTGTACTGTCCTACTTTTAATTTATTCATCCAAAAGTTGCCTAATTCCGTGACATTATACTGTAGATTCCATTTATTATTGGTTTCTGCATTTTCAGCATCCTTGCCTTTATGGTTCTACTCGTGCCTTGAAGAGCTTTTTAATCCTTACTCTGGTCTGTAGTGATTGATTGCTTCTGTAGGAGCAGTATATATGATTTATGAACAGCTATATTTATTCTGTTGTGGGTGACGTGACTCCTCCATGTCAATCACTGCAGCTGTTGACTGCGCTCCAGTTTTGACCATGAGGTGCTGTTTTGGGCATGGCGGTTTCACTATTACCCCACGTGCCCATTCCCTGCATATAATCAACACACACACACACACACACACACACACACACACACACACACACACACACACACACACACACACACACACACACACACACTGAAGTGTGTCAAGGATCCAGTGTCCTTTCTTTATAAAGCAGAAGCAGCCCACATGATTGTGAATTAACCCACATGAGACAGAAAGAACAGGCTGATTCAGTGGCTGAATCATTTCATTTGAAGAATTGAAACATTTCTCAATATATGAACGACAGATTGAGAACACATTTGTAATTTTTTGCAGCGCACAATCATTATTTTTGAAAATACTGAACAAGAACAGTTATAACTGTACATTGGATTGGGGAGTACATGGTGTATTTGAAGGTTGTTTATGATTTAATTGAATGCTCTGTTTATCTAAAGTGAGAAATAACTGAGTGAAATGGTGATTTAATGGAACAATGAAAAGTCAAATGACAGGTTGCGCTTGATAAGATTACCGTTTCCATGACAGCGACCCCCACCTTCACCCTTGGTAAATCGGCTAATCTCGTTGGTGCTGTTTCTAAGTAGTAACACGGATTACAATGCCTCCTTTCTTTTCTCTTGTCTCAATCTCCGTTCCTGTCGTTCTTAGCGAGACCCTCTTGCTTGTTGTAGTTGTTGTTGTTGTTGTTGAGGCCAGAGTATTGCACAAGCACCATTGAGTATTTCATCACTAAAGGGTTTGATTCAGAACACTTCTTCTGTCTGCTTTCAGACACCAGCTAGATATGGAAATCAGTTATTTGCAAGTTGACACAGATTTTGTGTTTCGACTACATGCCTTTTTTAGAGGTTCTTGCTGAGGCGAGCAACACTTTCGCTTTTCCCAGCAAGTGTTTATGAATGTATAGCTGTATACTACTGTAGTATATGTGTGTGTATGTATGTGTGCATCACAAACAATAATAATAAATATTCTAATAGTAATATTCTAAAATTATCATTCTTGTCTATAAACAACAACAACAAATGCATATTTGAATATAAAAAAATAACTTAAATGTAACTCCATGACATTTAAGTTATTTTTTTATATTCAAATATGCATTTGTTGTTGTTGTTTATAGAAAAGAATGATAATATTAGAATATTACTATTAGAATATTTATTATTATTGTTTGTGATGCACACATACATACACACACATATACTACAGTAGTCAACATTTGAAGTGGATCAAAACCTTTCATCAAAGTTATACATGAATTTTGAACAATACCCGTTCTTGTCAAAGGACAACTTTGATTAACTTTTTTTGATCCACTTCAAATGTTGACTACTGTGTATACACACACACATGCCGGTATATATAATCCTTTTTGTTGAGCCTTGAATCAGTCAGTGATGGTGATAGAGGAAATTAAATATGAAAGTTGCATTTAAAATCTTATGCATCACATACTTTTTCAGGGTCTTGTTTGCTAGGCTCATGACTCATGACAGTAATGATTTTGGGGTTGTACTGGCTTATGGTGAAAGTGTAGTTAAAACGCTCAGAACTCCTTGTGCTCATGTTTTCTGTCAGCCAGTCGTGTGTGTGTGTGTGTTCTAACCTTCAGTACCTCTATTTATAATCGCACTCTACAGTGTTCTTTCCTGTTATTCAGACTTCGCTGTGAAGTGCAGGAAATTGGTTTATTGTAAGACGGTGAATGAATTTGGCTTTTGCCTCCTCTCAGCTGTGAGCTGCTCTGCTTAAGAAAAGCACAGCGAGTCAAGCTAAAGCAAGAAACCCAAAGTCTTGAGTTTAGTGGTACATTGTGCGTTGACATTACTGGAACCGTGTATGTGGTGAGGGCTCCTCAGCTCACAGTTATCTTGAAGCAAATGAAACCACCGGTTATGACTAATCTACTGTTTAATGCTGCTTCATATCGGTTTATTCTTAAAGGGATAGTTCAGCCAAAAATGAAAATTCGGTCATCATTTTCTCACCCTCATTTAGTTCCAAACTTGTATGACTTTCTTGGGAACACAAAAGATGATATTTTAAAGAATGTTTCTACTGTTTTTGTCCACACAGTAAAAGTCAGTGGACTCCCTACACTTGACCTTTTTTCTAAAAAAGAAATCGAAATCGTCCCGGATTAGATGAAGTCAGTGAGGTGAATTATAGAACCAGATCCATGTAAACTAGATCAAATGATTCATTGAAAGATCTGACGCATCAGAATCATTTTGTTCATGAATAAGATGTCGCTGCTGCTCTTATGAAGTAAAGATAGGGCAGATTATTAGGTTTTCAGTGGAAAAAGTTACAGTTTTCATTGATTTTGACTCTTGTATCCTTTTGTTATGACAGCAAAATTTTAAGACACCATTGGCATTCACAAATCTTGATTCCAAAATGAAAACTTGAATCGAAAACCACACCAAAAAAATACTAACCTATAACTAATATGTTCAAACATTACTAAAAGACCAGTAAACAGTCAGTTATAAAATAAGAACAAAGCACAAATAAATACTAGAACAATTCTACAAATGAGATAAATAGTGCTTTAAGTTTTTTGGGGCCTGGCCATTGGGCTTTCGTCGTGTTCCACAAAAGAAAGAAAGTTATATGGAAAACATAAGAGAGTAGCCTAAATAATGGCAGAATTTTCAGCTTTTCTTTTTAAAAGCAAATGAGTGTGTGTCTGTCTTTGTGCATCCCACAACAGTCTCTGCTGACATGATTACAACTCAAAACATGTTTGAACAAAACTAAGCTCTGACACAAATGGCACATCCTAACGCAAAACCGACACATAAAGGCGCCCAGCAGCACTCGTTCTGTGCCTCTGTGTTTTACTTGTTCTTGGCCTACTTTAAGTGTTTTTACTCTGCTTATCAAGGACCCAAAACAGGAAGTGATGTTTTCAGGTGCTGATTTGCTCAAAGATGTATAGATGCTTCTGTTTCAAGCTTGAGTTTTACAGTGTTTAAAGGGCGTTAAGATGTGTACCTCTTTTAATCTAGCAAAATGGGCACAGTTGTTGTCATGTGACTATATTTAGAGAGGCCCATCATATACACCTGATAAGCATTTTGATATACTATGTTTAGCCCATGACAAGCAGTGGATTGCAAATATCTAAGTGTGTCCTCCTTTGTGTTTTATACTAGGTATATCCAGCGCCACCCTGCTGCACTCCAAGTCATTACGTGGGCATAGGGACTGCTTCGAGAAGTACCATCTCATCGCCAACCAGAAGCTCTCCCGTGCCAAGGCCTCTCACAGCGCATACGAGGGCGTGAAACGGGCTCTGAGCCAGCGGATCAACCGCATTATACAGTACACCCAGAACAGAGACTCCTTAACCGCAGAGACACCTGGGCGCTGGGGGGCCAAACAGATTCTGTGTCACTCCCAGCAGGGCGGTAGGAAGCTCGTGCCCCAGTCGGATGCTCAAGTTCCCCGCTATGCACCGCGATGGGCGGATGAGGCGTCAATGGCAGTTTCGGAGTATGGGAAATCCATGCTGAACTGCCACTCTGCAGAGGAGCTCGGCCTCGACCTGCTGCAGGGACCACGCCAAGGATTATGGGCTGGAGAACAGCAGAACCGAGAGCAGAGGAGACACAAAGGACACAGCCGAGAAGAACGTGAGTATTTATGATATATACGCTATCGTTCAAAGATAACAGTAGAGATGTTGCAGAACATTTCTATTTCAAATAAATGCTGTTTTTTTTTTTTACTTTCTATTCATCAAAGAATCCTTAAAAAAAATGATCACGGTTGCGACAAAAATATTAAGAAGCACAATTGTTTTTAACATTATATGAAAATGCCTCTTGTGCACCATACCATATTAGAATGATTCCTGAAGGATCATGTGACACTGAAGACTGGAGTAATAATGCTGAAAATATAGCTTTTCTATCATAGGAATAAATTACATTTGCAAATATATTCAAATAAAAAAGTTACTTTAAACTGTAATAACATTTCACAATATTTTTACTGTATTTTTGATAAAATAATAGTGCATTTGCTATGCTTTTGTTGGCATTACAAAATCAAGCAACATAGTGAATGGTTTTGGGCTCGCTTAAATTCTCTCAGTAACGTCTTTGACAAAGTGAAGGAGAGAAATCGATATCCTCACCATTAGGCTTTTATCTGACGCTTTGTATCTCTGCATCTTTCCCGTCAGTACAGTCCACAAAACACCAATAAAGGGCAGAGGTCACAATCTAGACCTTGATTTCTCTCTCCGTTCTTCAATGTTTGTCTCCTTTTTATCTCACCCAAAGAAATGGCTTCAGTTAAAAACAGATATGTCATCAGGGTCACAGCACATGCTTTCAGGGTCACAGCACATGCTTTTCAGAGCCGCACATCTGATTAGAATGCTTCTCAAGGACTGTTATAAAGTCATCTGCCTTCAGCTGTGAAAGGAGATGTTTGTCAGTTAGCGAGAGAATGATTTTCATACCCACTTTATTGTTTGTGTTTCTGTTTCAGTGGTGATGATGAGTGTGGAGGAGCTTCACCAGCTGAACGAGCAGCTGCTGTTACAGATACAAAGTGAGTTTGATCTTAAAACCCAAAGCTCACCCAAATAAGGAAAATATGACAGTTTTAATTTTTGGGGTGAACTGCTCCATTTAACCTAAACGCATACTGTATGGAAGAGTGACTTGATATTAGTAATAAAAAAAATTAAAAAATTGTTTTATCCCTTTGCAAAATATGGTATGTCATGACAAAAAATGATGTGGTAGATAATTTATTCATCTTGTCAAGGCTCAACAGTATCGCTTTCCTCCCGCCCAGTTTGCACTGAACCTGCCAACAGTTTATCTAGCCCCAACACTTACTTACTTGCCTATTTATTTGTTTGTTTATTGACTTTAACAGGTCATTATTTACTTTCACATTTCATTAAAAAAAAAGTTTTTACATTTAATTAATTATTTAATTAATTATTTCTTTTTTTATTTACTTTATTTTATTTATATTTTCATTATATATACACTACCGTTCAAAAGTTTGGGGTCAGTGAGAATTTTATTTTTATTTTTTGGAGGAAAGAAATCAATACTTTTATTTATCAAGGACAGTAAAGACATTTATAATGTTACAAAAGATTCTATTTCAAACAAATGCTGTTCTTTTGAACTTCTTATTCATCAAAGAATCCAAAAAAAAAAAAAAAAAAAAACTGTACAACTGACAGACCAACAACTGTTTCAACATTGATGATAATAATAAATGTTTCTTGAGCATCAAATCCTCATATTATACTGATTTGTGAAGGACCATTTGACACTGAAGACACTGACACTGGTGATGCTGAAAATTCAGCTTTGATCACAGGAATAAATTACACTTTACTATATATTCACACAGAAAACAGCTGATTTACACTGGAATAATATTTAATACTATAACTGATTTTTGTTTTATTTTTAATCAAATAAGCGCAGCCATGGTTAGCAGAAGAGAATTCTTTTAAAAGTATTTAAAATCGTACCGACCCCAAACTTTTGAACGGTAGTGTATATATATATATATATATATATATAATATTTTTTATTTATTTCCTATAAATTAATAAAAAGATTAAATGTTACTTTTAACATTTTTCTTTACAAAGATAATTTGCAATAATAGAAGTAAATTCTGCAATTTTTATAATTATTCAAGGTACTCATTCATAAACACTTTTTCTGGAAAATGATGGCATACATTACTGATTGGTGTGTAATTTTCAACTCATTCTTACTGATGCCAACAAGACTATTACAAGTTCTGTAACTTTGATAAAACCTCCCTCTGTATCGGTCGGATTTAAAGTTGAAACATTTGTCTTTTTGTGACATTTGGTAGCAAAATGTCTGTTTAAAAACTAGTTTATGTAAACAGTTCAAGTCAATTCTGTATAGTTTTAAATTGTTTTATGCACGTTTTTCACATTGACAAGTTTGAGGTTGACATTTATCCATTTTTTGTATTGAATAAAATATGTAAAAAATAAATAATTAAAATTGTTTTTCTTTTTGCTTATTGCACTTTTGAGATATTTATCTAGTTAGTTACTATTGATTTTTTACAAACATAGCCTTCAAATTGGGAGAGTAAGGATTATTTTGATGTATGGCATATGAAAATGCTCAAAAGAATGACAGCACAGCATGTAAAAATACAAAGATATACTCTGGTGGAATTGTTCTATGGCAGGTCATAAAGGGTTAAAGTCCCCCTGCAGTCAATAATTGTATCCCTTAAAACTAATCTTTGATGATCAAAATGACATTTAAATGTTTCTCCTGTGAAAATAATTTCTTCATGCCTTAAAATAGCTTAAATGTAACTACACCCTTGCTTCATTTAGTATAGATGGATTCATGAATATGCATATTAGCCACGCCTCCATTCACTCACAGCAGCTCAGAATGCCTGATCCACTCAATCCAGTCAACTTTACTGTAGTAAACGCCTGGTGTAAAATGGCAAGGTTTAATTCAGCCATGCATGTTTGAACCTGAAACTGATTCAGAAGAAGAAGATTTTACAGGCTTGTCTACAAGTCGATGGATTAGAATGGTAATAATGCGTTTTATGTATCGCTCTCTACAGCGTCGGACATATAACGGTAATCGATATGATTAGCCTTTGGCTTGACTGTTATTAAACAGCTAATAATGTGTTGCTAATGTTACCACGTTCCCGTTCACATCTGAGAGTCAGACGGCTGCCTTCTAAAAATCAGCATCCTTTGAACATCATAGAAAGTCACTGGAGAAAAGCCATGTTGACGGGATTGGTCACATGTTTGTGACGGTAGGAAACGGGGGTGGTTTCCAACTGTGTTTTTGAGACTGTCTCAGCAATGGTGTTGACTGGTGAATTTGCTTAAAGACAAAAACTTAAAGAAAAAAATCATTCAAAACAATAAAAATTGTAAGAGACAGTTCTGCACTCTGGCCAGCTGGCTATCCTTATTATTGAGCCCTGCTTATGTATATTTCAAGTTGTTTATGTAGGTTACCATTATTCTTGAACTAATACACACTCTTTGTTTGTCCCTCAGATGTGTTTGAGGAGCTCTCTGTAGCTGTGCAGGAGAAGGACTCTCTTTCATCAGAGCTTCATGTACGGCACATAGCCATTGAGCAGCTCTTCAAAAACTGTGCCAAGCTGCCGTGGCTCCAGATCGGGCGAGCCGGGGTCAAAGCTAGCAACAACCCAGTGGAATGAGACCTTTTTTGGGACAACTGAGTCCCCCAAAGACCAAAAAGAAACCGCAGCTCCAAGCAGACTCTTGCGGAAGCTCAAAGCTAAAAAAAACGCACGGAAACGCACACACTGTGCTAATGAGTTTAATGTCACCTCGCTGAATCTTCAGCTGGACTTTAAAAAGCGAAAGGGTTTTGCAGGCCTGTTCAAAGTGTTTCTATGCAGAATGAGGTGTTTTTAAAACCTTACAAAGACTCTTTTTTTTCTTTTCCATTCATTTTCATATGTTGCTTTTTCCTCCTCATATCACTGTTTACTCTCTACACTTGATCATGGGTGGTTAATAGACTTGGATCAGTCTGACAATGTTCCTCCTGCACATTCGGGCTTGCTGATTGGTTGTGGTGTTGCTGTGGTAACTGTTGCTTAGTTAACAGTTTTTCCCTCCCTATGCTCATTGCAGTGGAACTTGTTAATGACTATGGTTGTTCTGTTACTCTTTATTTCTCCTGTTGTGCTAAGATACGACATAAACGCTTTAGAGGAAGTTTACATTTCTTTTATTGCACTCTTAAAGCTGTGTTCTTCAAATTGACATTTCATAGGTGCATCACAACATTTCATGGGTTATTATGATTAAGAAAATAGCAGTTTGGACATGAACGTTTCAGCTGGAATGGTTAGTTCACACATGTTAAGCACAGACCTAACTTTGATTTAGGCTTAATTTAGTGCTGGGATTAATATTGGAACGATACGAATGCTTAACCAAAGCCTTTGTAACCTCAAGGTAACTATTTCAGTATTTATTTTATGACAATTATTTGCTTGCTACAAATATTTAAAACCAAATTTGACTTTTTTGAATGGTTTTCCTTTCCGTAGTGTTGTTTTCTTGTGGTATTAATAGTATAGTTTCTTACATTTAGAGAGTGTGCATAAAGTGAAAGTACAGTCAGGGGAAAGCTGCCTTGATTTTATTCAGACTGTGTCACCATCTGGTGGCCATTCAGAGAATCCTGTCCACTTGCCGCCCTGAAGTGTGTGCATGGTTCTGTGTCTATTATTATTGTTCTATGAAGTCTATTATCTCTAGAATCTTTTAAAAAAATGTAAATCTCAACATTGTTTTAAGGAATCAGCTAGGTATTTTGAATTATCCGTTCTCTTTATAAGAGATACACATTCGACTGACCCCTCTGGGGTTTCTAAGAATATTTTAGTTTCTATGAGTGAGTTATCTATCATTCTGGTTATGCTCTGAAAGGTAAAGTCAGAAAACTATAGCTGTGAGTTATTATGGATGAGTTGTGGAAAAGAAGCAATATGTGTCTGAAGTGTCAGGTTTGGTTTCTTTGTGCAGTTTAAAAGCTTTCTTGAGCTTTCTTATGATTCACTCTGTGATTTGTCACAGGAGGTTGGAGTAAATGAAATGAAATGAAATGAAGCACACTGTCCAAATCGTTGTGTGCTGTGGAGATACTGAATGAACTACGTGAGCTGGATGAGATTCATGTTTGTCTTGAGTGTGTTGCATATGTAGGCCATATGTTAAACTTATGTTGGCGTTAATGATGTCTTGTTCTTTTTCTCTTAATTCATTATTGTGCTATTATTTTGCTTTTTGTTTTTCCAGTGGTCTGTGTTATGTGACATTTAAAGTGGTTTATGCAATACTGTTTTGTTAGCGGATCTTCCCATCAGTGTGGACGATTTCTGGATGCTTTTGTTTGGAGTGATGTGTACATTTTCTTTAAGGGAATGAATTAATAAAAATATTTTTCCTAAACCTGTGTGATTATTTGCCTTTAATTCACTGGGTTCACCAGCAGCTGATATGGTTGTTTCTAAAATGTGCCCTGGACTATCCGATACCTGGTCTTAAAGCTCTTTAAGTAAAGTGAATGGTGAAGTAAATTCATTATGCTTGCATTTTAAATGGTTTGCTGAAAAAAGTATTCTTGAAATATTGTGCTGAACACAACCAGATGGTTATTGCTTGAATGACAAAATATGTATACATTGATAAACATCTTTCAGTTTGAACTGACATTATATTTACATGCATACATAGTTTGAACATCAAACAATGCCTACAATGTGTTTCTAGGCAATTTCTGGCCAGGTTTAATTCATTCTCTACTTTTGCATACCCCATTAAAGTGATATTTCACCCCAAAATAAAAATTATGTTATCACTTACTCCCCCCTCATTTTGTTCCAAGCCTGTATGAGTTTCTTTCTTCTGTTGAACACAAAAGATGATATTTTGAAGAATGTTGGTATTTACTTTCATAGTTCTTTTTTTTGGGTGTCAGTTTGGCTACCGTCAACTGTTTGATTACCAACATTCTTTAAAATATCTTCTTTTGTGTCCAACAGAAGAAAGAAACACACGGGTTTGGAACAAAATGAGGGTAAGTGATGACAGAATTTTCATTTTTAGATTAACTAACTAAACCCTTTAATAACAATAAGAATTAAATTGTTGTTCATAATAATGTATTATTTAGATCATTTAAATGTTTGCTGATTTGTTAATAAGATAGACATTCAAAACCTAGCTCTGCATTTTGCCATATTTTTTTTACTGTAACCCATAATTTATTACTGATCCCCCCACAGAATGTTTGTGTCATTTTGTTTGCCATTTCTCTATTTTCTGATGACATGGGTGGCTTGACCAAGTTACCGACGTTTTAATGTAGGAACAACATCTGTAACTTTCGTATTTGCGGAGAGAACTATGTTTGTTTACCAGAGTGAATTTTTTATATCGTGAACAGAAATTATTTTTTGTTTTACGTTTTTGAGCGGTTCCGCGGTGCACCTCTTTGGTTCCGCCTTCAACACGCGCGCACACCGGAAGTTTGGATTTTGTTGTTACACTGGAACAAAATGGCTGCTGTGAGTTTTTTTCATTGAAGGCACTGGAACATTTATTCCGCTTCTTGCTTTGGATTTCCTACCTGTGGTGATGCAACTCGATTGGCAAGTCAGTTTCAATGTTTGTCGCCATTGTCACGTTATGCCCCGCTCTGTCAGGTGGTCGTGTTGTGTGGGTTTGTGCATTTTAAGTGAGCTGTTAGCTGTGGTTAGCCAGTCTGTCGTTTGCTGGAGCTCCAGTGCTGAAGTTTGTCTTCTTCTTCTGGCATAATATTCCTCTGCATTTCATAAATGAATGATATGTATTGCCATTGCATCCTTTAACACATACTTTGTCATCATCCTGCTGAATTTCACCACATTTGTTTCCCAGATGTTGTGATTGCATATATACACACAGATGCATAACTGTCTTAATGAGCTGAGTTCATGTCTCATACTTTATTTATTCGCATTCATACACTTGTCATTGGATGTCTGGGGTTAAGTTCTTAATGGCAACTGTCAGCTGACAGATAAATGCACGCGTGGAGTGTGTTTCTGAACTGTCTCTCTCTGATCTCAGGGCTTGAATGGTGTGTTTGTGGAGGTGACAGTGTTGGTGTAACACATCATCGCCTCCTGTCACACAACAACCACGATGGTAAGAACTTCAGATTTGTTTTAATTATGTATTTATAACAGGATTGGATTTTATTCAACATTATGGCATTGATTTGATAATATTTGACATTTTCACTGATTTGTTTGGACAATATGAGAGATTTGCCCTGCCTCTAATGTTATGCATTTTCATTTATCTTTCTTCCACAGCAACAAGTCCTAGAATATGCATTGGATCGGGCTGAGGTATACTTTGAACTTATTTCTGTGTTGTTTTATACTGTACAATTTGGTGTTTATTTTGTATCCATAATATCTGTTCATATGGCAATAATGTATTCTTCTACTCTCCTATGACATTATGTCTTGTTTAGTACATTGTTGAAAGTGCTCGTCAGCGACCAGCAAAGAGACGATCGTCCTCGAGTGGAAGGAAATCCTTATATCAGAAACTTTATGAATTGTACATTGAAGAGTGTGAAAAAGAACCAGAGTTGAAGGTAATCTTCACCAGCTATAACACACAAACACATTTATGTTTTACAGTAACTTCAAGACTAGCATTTCAATGAAGTAGCATTTCAATTTTATTTCCATTTTAGCTTAGTAAAACCAGATACTTAATGAGAAAACTATGGTGTGATTTTATACATTTTTATCGAGTCGTGTTATGGAATATAATAGTGAAAATCGCGGAATGATATTACGGATTGAATATGTGTGTGTGTTGTAAATAACAAAGTCCTTACTGCCCTCTTTTTGTAGGAACTGAGGAGAAATGTGAATCTACTTGAGAAACTGGTCTCACAGGAGTCAGTCTCATGTCTGGTGGTCAACCTGTACCCTGCCAATGAAGGATATTCGCTTATGCTTAGAGGAAAAAATGGATCTGGTACTGTCTGCTTTTTATTTGTTTATTATGCTTAGCTCATCATGCTGCTTGTTATTAAAGTCTTGCCCGAGCTGATGTTTTTATCCCGACCTATAAGATTCAGAAACAATCCGACTTCGCTATGAAGAAGGAGAGTTACTGGAGTACCTGGATGCTGAGGAGCTGCCGCCCATCCTTGTAGACCTTCTAGAAAAATCACAGGTTAGTAGCATCACTGAACTATTTTTTTTTAATGTGTAATTTCTTCATGTATTTTTCCATTTCATTTTATGCACTTGAAAAATCTGCCCTGACATTTTTTTTTATTTATTATTATTTAAAAATATTTATATTTAATTTACCATTACCATTACCGACCCCATAAAGTTCAGAACAGTGTTGTTATTGTTAACTAAAACTATTATTAAATAGTTTTTCTTAATTAGAATAAAGCTGAAATAATGTAAAACATAAATATTGTGTACACTTAAAAAACGTAAACTAAATTAAAATGTTTCAGTTGAAGAACTATAATTACATTAAAATAATTTAAAGCTTAATAGAAATATTAAGAAAGTCCAAAAACAAATAAAATATGACAAAAAGCACATAACAAATCTCAAAATATAAAAAAATGGAAAAAAAACAATACTATTATAGTATATAAATAATGCTAAAATAACACTGGTGCAGAATTGATTCAATGTGTAATTTTATTTTCATTAACCTCCATTAGTTTTTTTATTACATGCAGTGTTACTGATGCATAAACCAGTGGCTTAGTTTTGTTTTTCTGCTTTTGTTCTGTCAGGTGAACATATTTCACTGTGGCTGTGTCATCGCTGAGGTCAGGGACTACAGACAGTCTGGAAATGCAAAGATGCCGACCTACCAGAGCCGGCACATCCTGCTGAGACCCACTATGCAGGTCAGTAACAGTCCTGATCCATGACCAGCAGTCTCTGAGAAACTTGAGCTGAGTATTTTTATTAAGCTGTGTCTCTTCTCTTCTCCAGACCCTGATCTGTGACGTTCATGCTATGACAAGTGATCACCACAAGTGGACGCAGGTGATGCGACTGCATAGAGCATTAAAAGTGACAGATTCACAGCTCAGTATGGAGGAGGCATCAATTCTCATGTGTTTTGAATGTGTTTATAGGATGATAAACTTCAGCTGGAGAGTCAGTTGATTCTGGCAACAGCAGAGCCTCTGTGTCTGGACCCTTCCATCTCTGTCAGCTGCACTACCAACCGTCTGCTCTACAACAAACAGAAGATGAACACACGATCCATGAAACGGTG